TGTCACTGGCCCTCATATGTGGGATCCGAACCGGGGCCCTCTGGCATCCCAAGCGAGTTCTTAACCATCGCGCCACTCGGCCGGCCCTCAAGTCCATTTCTTTAGAAGTGGAGACACTTAAAAACGCATACTAATGACATATTCATTCTTACAAACTTTGTGTAACTCTCAAATCATCAATCCACCATAGAATCTTTGGGTGGCATGTAAATACCTTCATGGTACTTAGAAACATATGATAGAGCAAACTCTAGGTCCTCTGGAGAGCACCAGCATTGGTATGAAGTCAAAATGGCATATCTATTGTACACTTAAGAAAACATTTAAAAAATATTATTAAAAGCTTATGTTGACATGCTCTGGGATTAATTTTTAAATTTCTGCTGTTCTGCTTCTATTTTTAATATTTCTTTTCAAAGAAAGTATTAGAATGATGTTTTAGGTAGGCAAATGTTAACCCAAACCGCTAATGAAGACACAAATATGGCTTGATGAATGGAAGATGAAATAATTTTATACATGAGCTCTGTTGCTAAAAAGGTATAATGTCTACTGTGGAAGAAGATAAAAATGAAAAGAGAATGGGCAACTGCATAGGAGAAACATGAAAATAATGGAGGCCTTAAAACTCATCATAAAAAGATGAAATGGATTAATGTAACAGAATGTTTAAAGGAAAAATATAGTGTGGTAAAAGCAAAGGACAAAAATCATTTTAAAGTAATATTTTAGATCAACTGCAAAGAATCGAAATAGGATATGATTAGTAAGTAGGGACGTGATCTGTAATTCATATATGAAATGGTCTTTATTTGAGCTGCAGATTTAGAAATACACAAAATGTTAGAGCCAGAAATGACCAGCTATTCCAACCTCCCTCAGTTTACAAGGGAGGAAGCTGAGACTTGATGGTAGAGGGGCGTGCCTGAGGCCAGAGAAGAGGTTGGGGGCATAGCTGGGACTGAAACTCAGTCTATGGACTCACAAGCCAAAGTTCTCCCCATACACCTCACTACTTCTTAGATAACAGGTGCTACAGTGGCTCACAAAAGAAATCTGAACATGGTCAGAGAAAGTTTATGAGTAAGTGGAGGTGACAAGAGAGGATCCCAGGCATGGTAACCACAGAAGCCGAGGAAGGAAACCCAGCAGCAGTATGTAGACCATGATGGAGGAGGAAGGGGCTAGGCATGAAGATCAGATTGAAGTCCCCTCTAGAAGTCCAGGTCTGCAGTAATAAATTGCCAGCGATGGAAAAACAAAGGAAGGTTGATTAGATGAATACTGAGGCAGTAGGATGGGAGCCAGAGGAGGCACTGAGGAAAACACAGTGCTGGGAATATAGTAATGATTCTCATAGAAATGAAGACATTAAGGAGAAGATAATTTTGGTAGGGCAGATGGTGAGCTCGATTTTAGACTGGCTGAACTTAAGTGACAGCACAAGTTGATAATGCAGGGGGCAATTTTAGATGTAGGAATGAGTTTTAGATGTAGGAGAGAATTCGATATTAGAGAAAAATCAGGATGACTCAAACATTTTGAGTAACTGAAAGGATAGAATTACTATCAAATAGATAGTAATTTGGGGGAAGGCTGTAGAGGAGTAGATTTGAGGATGGGAAAGCAAAATCGGGACTTACATGTTTAGTTGGAGATGTCTATTAAAGAGACATCAAATAGGCAATTACATATACCATCTAGAATTTAGGACACAGCACAACAGCACATCACTGTATAAAGGACAGTTCAAGTCATGAGTCTGGACCAAAGAAATGAGCATAGACAGAGAAGCAGACCACAGACTGAGCCCTGGGGTTTACTCGTGTCCTTTGTTGTCTGTTTGCTAAGGTTGGAGGGGAGGAAAATGCCTTTGGCAACAGGAACTTGAACTAAGAATGGGAGGCAGGGAAGAGATACACACACACACACACACACACACACACACACACACACACACTTTACAGACTCAAATAACCAGAATCTTTTATATATATATATATATATATATATATATACTGTTAAGTTATTTAAAAACAAACCTTCTAGACTATGCCATATGATCAGTACAGATGAATCCTAATCTCTTTGTGCATCTGCTGTAGTGAACTGCAACATGATCATTTTGTAAAATCTAAAAAACTTTTTAAAGATCAAAAAAATGCCTTTTAAAGCAATGAAAAACTAAATAAGGTACAGTTCAGTTTTTGCTTTATATTCATTTTAGTACATTCAGAATATAGAAAGAAGTAACTGATTACATATACATGGTATATTTGGTACTTAGCAAAGAAACTAATAATTCAATTAATTAGGGCACTAAATTCTCAAGTTCTCTGGGAATTTGTTGTCTGACATAAATGGTAAGTAATAAAAGTTTTGCCTATTAAAATACTCTCTGGAAGTTTTTTCTGTCTCTACCATTCATCTCTGATCATTTAATATGGATCTGTTTGTCCAATAAGCACCTGGGTTTCCTCTGGCATATGATCTACCCATACAGCTAAAGCTACATGTTTTCACTATGTAATTCATGTTACAGAGAGCCAAGCTAATACGTGAGGTCTCAGGTAAAGCATACTCTAACCCCAAAAGTACTTATTTGATTGTTAATCACAAAAGGACTTATCTACTTCCTTATTTAGAATCAAGAGTTCTGTGTTCCTTCCACAAAGAAATGACTGGGAAAGAAGTTAATATTGGGGAGCTCTTTAGCAAGTAGTTAGGATAACATTAGCTTTTAATACATATTAACATAAGATTTTAATATATATAAAAAGGAAGGGGCTGGCCAAGTGGCGCGTTGGTTAAGAGCTGGCTTGGGACGCTAGTTCTGAGCAGCAGGACTGCAGTTCGGATCCCACATGAGGGCCAGTGACACTGTGCCCTCTACAGCTAAGATGGTGAACAACAGCTTGACCTGGAGCTGGGCTGCTGTGAGTCGCCGGCAACGGCATAGGCTGCAGCGGGGCTGCAGTGGGCTGCCGTGAGCTATCATGAGTGGCTGGCAGCCAGCATGAGCGGCCGGCAGCCGGCGTGAGCTGCCGTGGCCGCCGTGAGCGGTTATCCAATGGCCGGCGAGCGACTGCCTCTCCTGGGAAGAGCACAATGATAATACCAATATGAGCCAGTGAAGCGACGTCCTCCACAGCCAGCCTGAAGAACAAAAGTTCAGCAACTTGTCTGTTCCCCTTCCCCGATTCCCCAATGCTGTTCCCCTCCTCTTACCAAATAAAATCTTTTTTAAAAAGGAAGGAAAAAATAGTATTTAGTTATTTTGTTTAAAAATGTATTTTTCATGAAATTTTACATGAATTGGATGGATTCCTAGTTATCATGTATTCTAACCTAATTTTACAGATGAGGAAACTAGAGATTGTAACTCCTCAAGACCCCAGCACTAGAAGACTCAGAATTAGAATCTAGGTCTCCTAGCTGCCAGGAAGTGCTCAGAATGCAACAATAAACATGGAAATATTTGTGATTACTTCAAGATTGAATGGGAAAATGCTGAATAAATGTTTTCATATCACATACAATTATGAAAAGCCGTCATACTTTCTGCTATTTCATTATTTTTACTCTACTACATGTGCGTTTTACATGTTAAGCTTGTCTATTTTCAGCACTGACACGAGAAAAGTTAATTTTACTTGTTAAATAATAATTCATCTCATTTTTAAAACGAATATTGAGTACCAATCACCAGAAAACTATTCCAGGTAGGGGGAACAGCATGTGCAAAGGCCCTGTAATGGGATGGAAAAGTGCTACAATTTCAAGAAAATAAAGAAAGATAAATCAAGTGTGATTGAAACACAGTGGGTAAGGAAAAGAGAGGCCCAAGATGAGGCTGGAGAAACAGCAGGGAGGGCCAGATCCAGTGGGATTGTGAGGAACCTGTACAGTTAGATCTTAGTCTGTACACAATGCGAAAGCCATAGAAGTGTTTTAGGTCAGTATGTGACATAATCTGATATCTATTTTTAAAAGCGAAGCCTGGATACTCTATGGGAAAATGAATTACTAGTAATAGTGGAGATGGAAATAAATGTATGGATTACTTATATACTTTAGAGGTAGAAATGGCAGTGCTTGTTAATAAGATCAGATGTGGGTTGTAAGGGAAAGAAAGAATCCAGGGTGACTGTCAAGCTGGGGGAACTAGAGCAGCTAGGTAGATAGTGGTAACGTTTGCTGTACTGGTTAAGAGAGTCCGAAGGCATTTTCCCAGAGAAATGACATAATGTGCTTTGGGGAACAAACCAAGCACTAAACCTGTTATGAGCATAAAAAACAAGTATGAGAATAATAAACAGTTAACAATATGTTGAGTTAACATACTGCTCGTTTGGTATGATAGTAGTAGAGGAAATAGAAGTGAGAGGTACTTGACTTGGTAACTCACTGAATGTGGGGAGTGAAGGGGAAGAAAAGCCAAAAATGGCTCGGGCTTCAGGCTTTGATGACCTAGAGGAACCATACAGAAAGAGCATATCCATGAGCAAAGATGATGATTAGAGAAATACAGAACTTGAGGTGCTAATTGCTCATCCAGGTGAAGATATCCCTTGGCAGTTTCAAAAATGTCATAATTAGAAATCTTGAGATCTCTCAAGAATACACAATAAAGAATGAGGAGAGAACCTTGAAAATGCTTAGAAAGGCAGAGGAGAAAGGGAGAGCAGAGTAGGAGCAACCAGATAGAGACAAAGAGGAAAACCGGGTGAGTGAAGAGTCACGGGAGCAAAAGAAAAGCAAAATTTCAAGAAGGAAGGGAGGGTCAACATTGGCAGGTTGCAAATAGGTCAAAGAGAATGCTGGCAAAAAAATAAAACAAAACAAAACACACCTCTCTGTTTTTAGCAAAAAAAGGCAACACTGGTTACCCAAGAAAAAGTAGTTTGGGGCTTGAGGGAAGAGAGAAGTCAGATTGTAAGTGATCTGACAATAAAGAGGAATAAAGAGCTATTGCTTAAAGGAGTCACAACATAGAAAGGTTTTTTTAGGAGAGGATAGCATGACCCTAGGTAAAGCAGTATTCACTGGAATGTTTGAAATGGAAGTAGTATGAAAGGTAAAGATGAAAACGATGAGAGAAGAATAACATTAGGAACACAGACTAGGAAGTTAGCCTGGGAAGTAAAACAGTGAATGATGATGAAGAGAACTGCATGGGAGCAAAGATGCAAAGATGAGGGAGCTCACAACAAATGTCCTGGTGTTTATCAGCCGGGTAAAAAAATCAAGATATATTCTAAAGATGAGGAAAAATACAAAGGATTCTAAAATATGGACATGTATGTTGGCTATTAACTGGACCTCTGGGTATTCCTTAAAACTTTTAAATGGATTTAATTCAGAAAAATTATAATTCCTTTATTGTGAAAAAAAATCTTACTTTCAAAACCATGCGTTTTACTACCATTATCTTATGTAAGGATTATTTATCTAGAAATTTTGATGATCCAAGTAAAATGACTAGAACAATAAAAATACAAGTATTCTTACTCATGACCACTATCTTTTAAAAAATGAATTATGAGTAATATTTGAAAAGGGTAAGTTAAGTAATGACAATTCGTACAAAATAACACAGAATAACAAAAAATAGGAAGCCTATTTCCTATTCAGGCATAGTTTCTTCCTCTCTGAATTTCATTAATACTTTCTCATGGCATATATGACTATCACTTTCTAGTTTATAATAGCTACTTGCTATTATTTTCAATAAAAATTGAACCTACAGGATTTATATCTTGATAAATTGTTAAATACCTATCCCACTCCTCTCTTGTATTTTCACCCCCTCTCTTATTTACTGATTTTGTAGTGCTTGTCATAGCTGTGAATAAACCAGAGAAACAAGAAAAAGATCAAGAAATACCCAATTGTATAACTGATACTGTTTAGTGGATGTTTAGGTTCAGCCTATGAATGGATATGTGAGCACGTTCCTATCAAATTAGTTAACTGAGATGAGGAAGAGGGGATTATAGGGATTCTGGCTGATGTATTAATTTTTTTTCTAATTAAGCAATTATTAACACAAATGGCATAACTGTACCACCAGACTACTTTGTATCTTCAAGGCTCTTGCTTCAATAGGTATTCAATAAAGCTTGACTAGCTGGATAAAAATGGTATAGACATTTAATAAAAATAATAAAATGAAAAGACAAAAAAAATAGACAAAAAATAGGCTAGGAGTAAATTAGTAAAGGTAACTTATAAATATTGGTCAATAGTTCTCAGATCCAGTTATACATAAAAATCATCTGGAAATCAGAATCAATAAGGATTGGGGAAGCATCTCAGTTTCTTAAAAGTCCCCCCAGTGATTCTGCTATACGTCCAGGGTAGGACTACCTCACCTTAGTGAAAACAGGAAGTTCACTGACAAGGAAAAGCAAGGATGACGTCAACAGATGGAAATAAGGTTAACTCACATTACAAAAGCATAAGGCTAAATAAGACACAAATATGTAACACCACACTTTGGTTATGTTATGCAAAGCCCAAAATGCTCCCTGAAAAACAAAAACTTACATAGACAGCCTGGAGGACACTGACAATATATGGAGTTGTCATTATGAAAATTTAAATTTCATAGAGATTAAGAATTTGTCATCATTACAGAATATAAAACTTAAAAAAAAATAAGAAAACACACAGCAGGTAAACATCAAGCAACAGGAACGCAAGAATTCACAATTCATCCAACTTTTCTTTAACTGTATTTGGAAAATATTTCAGTGAAGTCTACAGGGAATTATTTTCTGTAATCGGCTTCCTGACTAAAGAAAGGCTCTTTCAATCCTGAGTTCAGCTGTCTATGACTAAGGGTTGAGGCATTTGAACAATTTTCTCCTCCGAGCACTCTGGAAAACCTGTGGTTTATTGTTGACCTTTCTGGAAACAGTTGGCTCTCAGAAATTTGAATTCAAGGGGTACTGTAAAATCCCAGATGATACCTTTTTGTCAAAAGCGACATGCGCAGGAATAAAACTTGCAGGTGGGGCCGGCTTAGGCGGGCCATAAGTTATAACTGGTGCCTTGCTAGCTAACTCATCAAGGTCAGCCTGGGACAACTGGTTGACCTGGAGCCGGGTCCCGCCTATCCCAACTGTTGGACGTCGAGCAATTGCATAGCCATTCCTGTAGTCCAGTGTCTGGCTTCTATGAAATGCTGTTTTCTGAAAAGAAAAAAAAGAAATGTATCATTAATAAAATTTGTTAGGTAAAAGAGCTAACTTTCAAAACTATAACTTAAACCTTTGCTTATAAACATCACAGACCTTATTATCAAAAAGTTTACCTATATTAGAAGGTTCTTGTATTTTAAGCTAAAATATCTGGCCAGGAACGAAGAGAGAAGCATCATCCTGTGCTTAAAACTTGAAGCCCTGCTCTGGTACACATAATTAATTATTAATACCAGCTCATTTTTCAAGAGATACTGAAATATAAATTTTAGTTTATTAAAATCTTAATTTTTCACTAATGTTCCCATGTTTCTTGTCTTATCTGGTAGTCATAAACCATGGAACCTAGAGGATCTGGTTCTGTGAAATCGATGTTTACCTGAATTGAAAGACCCTTCTTGTTACAATGACACTCACATTGCACGTTACAATATAACACATTACAAATATATTCACACATTTTTTGGAAACATGTTATATGTTTAAATCCTGATCTCAGTAATTCTACCTCAATCCTTTATTTTAAGGCTATAATCCAAAATTATAGAAAAGAACAGTATGCCTAAAGCTGACCATTATAATGTTAATTACAATAGTAAAAACATTGGAAACAATCGAAAAGGCAAACATGTGAGTAAATGACAGAAAACTCACTTAGTAGACTATTATGCAGCCATTAAAACATTGGTTTTAAAGACCATGTGGCAATCTGGGGAAAATGTTTGATTTAATAAGCCCCCAAAAGGAGCATATAAAATTGCATGTGTTCTACAGTCCCAAGCATACAAATATGTGCCTGAAAAGAGACTGGATTTGGAGAATGTTCTCTGTTCGAATTATACATTTCTGATTTATGCTCATTGTTTTTTTTACAATGAAGGTATTTTTATTAGTAATTTGGAAAAAAAACCCAGAAGATTAAATAAAAAGTAAAAGTGTAAGGGAAATATTTTTGAAGGTAGAGACCAAAATGACAACATAGGAGACCCCAGTCTCCCCATGCCTTTGCAAAGGTCAATGATTAGACAGCTATCCATGAACACAAACAGCTCTGGAAGAGCACTAGAGTCCACTTAGGAGGTTGTAGAAATACAATAGAACAAAAAAGTCTAACAATTGCACAAGAAGAGAAAGAAGACAACTTCATCTTACCTGTGTCATCCCATCCAAGAGGGAACTTCCCAGCCAGAAAGAGTTGCCTTCGCCAGGAAAGGGAGAGAGGGTGAGCAGCCAGTTTCTCTGGTCTTTTGGGACACTACACGGAGGTCCCACTTCAGTTATACCCCACCCAGACCAGCAAAGTGGAAGTGTATAAAGCCATCTAGGAACAAGGAAGGAAAGCAGGGGCTTCTGGCAGCAGCAGCTCAGTGGAAGTGATGTGGTTCAGAGAGATGTGCTCAGTGGATAAACCCAGCAGATTTTGCCACTTACCCAAAGCCAATAGCAAGGAGAGCTGCAGCAGCTACAGTGTATTCCCTGCAGATTTCACCAGCTTTCACCCCACAGGTATTCATGTTTGCTGACACTGGCCACCTGAGTCCCCACTCTCTCTTTCCCCTGTTCCTGCTGGAGGTCAGGAAATACACCAGCAGCCAGCTCAGGCTTCTGCAGCTGCCCAAGTGCAAGATGCCAGCATAGACACAACATGCTGGCTGGCCCCCACTGCTGTGCATGAGCTTGGAACAAACCCCTTCAGCTGTGCACCCGCATGTAACTGGCCTGACCCCCGTCACAGGCCTCCACTGCATTATGCATGCCTGTGTGAGAGTGTGCACCCTTGAGAGAGGGTACAGCCATGAGACAGCATGCTGACAACCAGGGCATCTGTAGCTGCCAGGGAGCCCATAGTTGGCCCAGGCACTTGCTGTCTGATCTGCCCCACCCTCACCCCCACTATGTGTGTGTCTGCAAACAGCCCCTGCCACTACATAGCCACCTGCGGCTAGTCCCCTGCAGCTGAGTATGTGCACACCACTGGCTCTGGCCACCACTGCTGCTTGTCCTGGTCCCTAGCCACTGGACCTAAAGGTGCTACTGAAGACCCTAAAAGCCCTTGCAGCCACTGCAGACCCCCTAAAATATTAAGAAAATACTAAAAGACTTGAAGAGAGAAATATACAAAAAAACCCCAAACCAATAACACTAGTGGATTTCAATCTCTACTTTCAGCAATGGATGTTATCAGTCAGATTGAAAATCAACAAGGAAGCACTGTATTTGAACTATACGTTAGGTCAAATGAACCTAATAGATAAATACAGAACAATCCATCCAACAGCAGCCAAAGAAGAATATATTCTTCTTAAGTACCCATAGAACAGTCTGCAGACTAGATCATATGATAGGTCACAAAACAAGTCTCAGCAGATTCAAATTATACCAAGTATCTTTCCTGACCACAATGATGTGAAATAACAGAAAGATGATTAAAATAAGCCAAATGCAAAAAGGCCTGTTTGACAACAGGAGAAATATACACAGTGATAGGTATTAAATGATGATAATTATTTTAATTATTTTAGCTCTGATACAGTGTTGTGATTATATTTTTAAAATATGGTAGATAGGGTTTTTCTTGTTGGCTGCTGTGTCCTTGATGGTTTGTGCTAAGGATGCTCTATTTCCTGATAGTTTTAAAGTCAAGAATGTTGTGAAATCTTGGTGACTCATATGCCAGTACTGAGGTCGATGGAGAGTATTACATGATTCCAGAAGACTTTGTCCAGCTCTATCGTGGACTGTATAATCATCTGAATAGCAATGGACTATATAATGATCTGAATAGCAATCCGAAGACAGTGCAGCTCTTGGCAGGAGTAGCTGATCGAACCAACTCTCGATCTCCTATCAAGAGTTTTTGGCATTTGAATCTGTTTTGTGTGCTCCAGATTCCATGTTCCTAGTGGCTTTCCAACTGTTTGACAAGAGTAGAAATGGAGACGTGACATTTGGAGGCGTTCTCTGGCCACACCGCTGGTGTAGCAGCTCCTTCCGGGCTCACTCATAAAACAGGCATGGCGGCAGTCTTGGAGAAGAGCGCCAGCCCCAGTCAGACTTCTAAATTTGTCTATCCAGTCTATGCTTGTTGAAGTACCAGTCATTTGTGAATTGACTTTTATAAAAATGTCAAAGAAATTTTTGGACAGACTATTATTCATCACCATATCCCTTTTACCTGGGACTGTGAATTTACCTGACTGCAATTTGGGCATAATTGAAAGAAGCAGCTTAACTACACAGAATTCACAGTTTCTCCAGGAGCTACAATTGGAAAATGCAAAACAAGTGCCTTTGCACTGAAAGACAAAGTAAAACTGGCATGATTTCTGGTCTGGCTTTCAGTAACATCAGGGTTACCATTTGGTCTCACACGCTTTCTCCCTTTGTGGAGGAGAACTGAGTTTCGGCAGCCCGAGGAAGTATCTTGCATTAGGTTAGCTTCTGCTACTTCAATGCATTTAACTCCTTACTGAATAACATGGAGCTTGTTTGTCAGGTAGATAGCACTCTAGTTGGCACAAGGAAAAATGTTGAAGTCACAGAGGAGGAATTTTCCCAGAGTTCCATACGCTATGGACAAGTCACTCCACTAGGAACTGATATCCTATGCCAGCTTGCAGACTTATATAATGCTACAAGGCACTTGACTTTGGCAGATATTGAGAGAATAGCCCCGTTGGTTGCGGGGGCCTCACCTTACAACCTGGCAGAACTTCAAAGACAGCAATCTCATGGTTTAGGCAGGCCTATCTGGCTCCAGATGGCCGAGTCTGCTTACACATTCACTCTGGGCTCAGTTGCCAGAGCTGTGGGAGCCACTGCCGGATATCCCATAGATCTGGTGAAGACCCACATGCAAAACCAGGGTGGCTCTGTTGTGGGGGAGCTGATCTACAAAAACAGCTTTAACTGTTTTAAGAAAATCTTGTAATGAGGGCTTCTTTGGACTCTACCAGGGTCTGATACCACAACTTATAGGGGATGCTCCAGAAAATGCTATTATTCAACTCACTGTTAATGGTTTTGTTCGGGACAAATTTACCAGAAGAGATGGCTCCATTCTACTTTTTGCAGAAGTCCTTGCTGGAGGTTGTGCTGGTTGCTCTCAGGTCGCCTTTACCAACTCATTGGAGATACTCAAGATTTGCCTGCAGGTAGCTGGATAGATCCCTACAGGACCCGGGATCAGTGTGCCCTGAGTGTGCTCCGGGACCTGGGACTTTTTGGTCTGTGTAAGGGTGCCAAAGTGTGTTTCCTCCGAGACATTCCCTTTCCTGCAATCTATTTTCCTGTTTATGCTCATTGCAAACTACTTCTGGTTGATGAAAACAGTCACGTGGGAGGTTTCAATCTCTTTGCAGCTGGAGCCATGGCAGGTGTGCCTGCCGCTTCTCTAGTGACCCCTGGCGATGTCATCAAGACAAGACTGCAAGTGGCTGCCCACACTGGCCAGACGACATGCAGTGTTGTCATTCGACTGTTTCAGGAAGATACTCCAGGGAGAAGGGCCTTCAGCATTTTGGAAAGGGACTGCAGCTCAAGTGTTTTGATCCTCTCCCCAGTTTGGGGTCACCTTGGTCACCTATGAACTTCTCTAGCAGTGGTTTTACATCGATTTTGGAGGCATCAAATCCCCTGGCTCAGAACCAACACCTAAATCACTCATAGCAGACCTTCCTCCTGCGAATCCCAATCACATCGGTGGATACCAACTTGCCACAGCCACTTTTGCTGGCATTGAAAACAAGTTTAGCCTTTATCTCTCTAAATTTAAATCTCCTAATGTTCCTGTGGTTCATCAAAGGCAGCAGCAGCAGCAGCTCAGTAATGAGACGACCTTGACTGTGGCCAAATAGCACCCTGAAGAGAGATGCCCAGGAGAGCAGCCCTGTAATGTGTCCAGTCAGCTAAATGGTACTGACTGAGCTGGGGAGTCAAACTGTTCTTTCTATATGACATACCTATACGAGGTAAACAATTAAGTTCGCAAACTTATCCTGGAAAAAGTGCTACACACCTCATTGCTGAATATCACTAATGGTCACCTTTGAAGTACTCCCCTTGGGAAGCCATGCGCTGTCGCCCGTGCCTAGTCCACCCTTCAAAGCAATTTTGGAACTCTTTTTCTGGAATGGCCATCATAGCTGTTGTCGTATTATCCTTGATGCAGTGAATGTTATCAAAATGTCTTTCAATATTTCCTTTATTTTCGGGTAAAGAAAAAAGTCATTGGTGGCCAGATCAGGTGAGTATGAAGGGTGTTCCAATACAGTTATTTGTTTACTGGCTAAAAACTCCCTCCCAGACAGTGCACCTGTGAGCTGGTGCAATTGTCGTGATGTAAGAGCCATAAATTGTGGGCGACAAGTTCAGGACATTTAACTATTTCACACAGCCTTTTCAGCATTTCCAAATAGTAAACTTGGTTAACTATTTGTCCAGTTGGTACAAATTCATAATGAATAATCCCTCTGATATCAAAAAAGGTTAGCAACATTGTTGCAACAAGTTTGCGAACTTAATTTGCAGACCTTGTATTTGTTTATAAAGCAATGGCTTGCTGCCGGGGGGTGGACGGACGGTGGGTCGGGACTGATAATGCATTTTCGAGCTTTAGTCTTATCTGTTGAGATGATTTCTAAGCCTTGGCATGAATTAGTGTTCTAGCCTGCTTTGCACAGCTTGCACTTATAGTGACTGTACATATTGTATGTACATCTTTGTACAGAGACAATCTGGGCACCTCATCCCAGCAAATCACATTTATAAAAGGTAATGCAGTTCTGAGTAGCTTGAAAGGTACAGAATATTTTGAAAGGTTTTATTAAGAATCACAGGAAAATAAATTTATTATAAATAACAACATAAATAAATAAATAAATAAATAAATAAATAAATACATACATAAAACATGGTGGATAAGAACTTGGACAAAATGTTGATAATTTTGAAGCTAGCCATAAACATTGGGTTCATTATACTATTCTCTCTACTTTTGTGTGTGTTTGAAATTTTCCATAATAAAAAGTTTTTAAAAAGAACATCAAGAAAGTTGAAAACTCATAAATATGTGGAACTTAAACAAAACATTCCTGAACAACCAATGGTTCAAAGAAGAAATCAAAAGGGAAATTAAAAAAATACCTTAAAACCAACAAAAATGGAAGCACAACATACGAAAACCTATGGGATGCTGCAAAAGCAGTTCTAAGGGAATTTTTATAGCGATAAATGCATGCATTAAGAAAGATCTACATGGGGCCGGCTGAGTGGCGCGATGGTTAAGAACTGGCTTGGGACGCCAGAGGGCCCCGGTTCGGATCCCACATATGAGGGCCAGTGACACTGCCCTCCACAGCTAAGATGCTGAACAACAGCTCAACCTGGAGCTGGGCTGCCGTGGGTCACTGGCCATCGTGAGTCACTGGCGACGGCTAGGCTGCAGTCCCTGTGGCAATGGGTTGCCATGGGCTACCGTGTGTAGCCAGCAGCCAGCGTGTGTAGCCAGCAGCCAGCATAAGCGGCCAGCAGCCAGCATGAGTGGCCAGCAGCCGCAGTGAGCGGCCGTCCAGAAGCCGGCGACTGATCTGCCTCGCCCAGGAAGAGCACAATGATGGTGCCAATTGGGCCAGTGAAGCAACGTCCTCCACAACTAGACTGAAGAACAAAATGACAGCAACTTGTCTGTTCCCCTTCCCCCAATTCCCCAGCACTGTTCCCATCCCCCCAATTCCCCAATAAAAATCTTAAAAAAAAAAAAAGAAAGATCTACATGTATGGTGTCAAATGGGTACTAGACTTACCAGGGTGATTACTTTATAAGGTATATAAATGTCCAATCACTATGTTGTACACGTGAAACTATTATAATACTGTATGCTAACTGTAATTGAAAAATAAATTTTTAAAAAATTTTAAAAAGAAACAAGACCTCAAATAAACTACCTCACTTTACACCTCAGGAAACTAGAAAAGGAAGAACTAAGCACAAAATTAGCAGAAGGAAGGAAATAAAGGTAAGAGCAGAAATAAATGAAATAGAGATTAGAAAAATGATAGAAAAGAGCAACAAAACTAAGAGATCGTTTTTGAAAAGAAAAACAAAATTGGCAAATTTTTAGGTAAGCTAAGGAAAAAAGAGAAATGATTCAAATAAATAAAAATGGAAATGAGACATTACAACTGATACCACAGCAATACAAAGGATCATGAGGAACTACTATTAATAGGCACATGTTAACAAGCTGGATTAACTAAGAAATGGATAAATTCCTAGAAACATACCAAGACTGAATCATCAAGAAATAGAAAATCTGAGCAGACCATTAATGAATCAGTAATAAAAAATCAACCAACAAGAAAAGCCCAGGCCAGATGTTTTCACTGGTGAATTCTACAAAACATTTAGATAATTAATGCAAATCCTTTTCAAACTCTTCTAAAAAACCAAAGAAGAGAGAACACTCCCAAACTCATTTTACAAGGCCAGCATTACCGTGATACCAAAACCAGACAAGGACACTACAAGAAAAGAATATTACAGACCAACATCCCTAATAAAAATGATGCAAAAATTATCAAAAAAATATTAGCAAACCAAATTCAACAGCTTACTAAAAGGATCATACACCATGATCAAGTGGGACTTATCCCTGAAATGCAAGAATAGTTCAACATAGGCAAATTAATAAATGTGATACACCACATTAATAGAATGAAAGATAAAAATCATATGATCATCGCAATAGAAAAAAGCAATACAACATCCATTCATGAAAAAAACTCTCAACAAATTGAGTATGGAAGGAACATACCTCAACATAGTAAAGGCCATATATGACAAGCCCAAAGCTAACATCATACTCAATGGTGAAAGGTTGACAGCTTTTCAGGAACAAGACAAGGATGCCCACTTGCACCATTCCTATTCAACATAGTTCTGGAGGTCCTAGCCAGAGCAATCAGGCTAGAAAAAAGAAACAAAAGGGCATCCAAATGAGAAAGGAAGAAATAAAATTCTCTTTGTTTGCAAATGATATGATCTCCACCAAAAAAAAAAAAAAAGTTAGAACTAATCAACAAATTCAGTAAAGCTGCAGGATACAAAATCAAGATACAGAAATCAGTTGCTTTTCTATACACGAACAATGAAATATCTGAAAAAGAAATAAAGAAAACAAGCCCATTCACAATAGTATCAAAAACAATAAAATACTTAAGATTAAATTTAATCAAGGTGAAAGATCTGCATACCAAAAAACCATAAGACTTTGATGAAATTGAAGAAGACACAAACATAGGAAAGATATCCTCTGTTCATGGCTGGGAGATTTAATATTATTAAAATGTCCATAATACCTGAAGCAACCTATAGATTCAATGCTGTCTCTACCAAAATTCCAATGGCATTTTTCACAGAAATAGTAAAAAAAATCCTAAAATTTGTATGGATCACAAAAGGCCCTGAACAACTAGAGCAATTCTGAGAAAGAACAAAGCTGGAGGCATCACATTTCCTAATTTCAAACTACAGCTGATCCTTGAACAACACAAGTTTGAAATGCACATATCCACTTATATGCAAATATTTTTCAACTGACCACATGCAGCTCAAACTGGTATTGTTTAAGGGACAATTCTGCTGTTGGGAATCCACATACGCGTGGCATCAACTGTACTTATATGTGGATTTTCAACTGCACAGGAGGTGTGCACCTATAACCCCTGAGTTGTTTAAGGGTCAACTGTATATTACAAAGCTACAGTAATTAACACAGTGGTGGTAATCATTTTGCAAAATACTAAGTGAATCAAATCAACCAGTTGTACAACTTAAACTCACACAATGTGATATATCAATTAAATCTCAATAATGCTAGAACAGAAAATGGAAAGAAAATAGAAGTTACCGTATTTGCCGGCGTATAAGACGATTTTTTGGCCCTGAAAAATATGCCTCCAAGTGGGGGGTCGTCTTATACGCCAGGTACACTTCAGATAGACTGCCCATAGTGCTTGCCCCGTGCCATAGTGGCCTCCCGATGCCCGCCCACTTCATTCCACATACCGTTCAGGCATCAGCAGCACTGCTGGGTGTATGCTCGGCTGTTATGCGATTTTGCTGTTATGCGATTTTACCACACTCGCAAAATCGTACACAGCCAACCATACACCCAGTATGATAGCGCAAAATCGTGAATCGCGATTTATGTATATGTTTGATTACATACAGCCTTGTGACAGTTTTCCTGCATGTCATAAGCATTTGAATATAAATATAAATGTTGAAATCAAATCTGATATTGTTTTACCTTTTATTTGGTGTGTGGAAGGTGTGCAGAAGAGGGGGTAGTCTTATACGGCGAGTATATAACAAACTCTGTATTTTGAGTGGAAATGTTAGGGGGTCGTCTTATACGCCCAGTCGTCTTATACGCCGGCAAATACAGTATATTGATTTGATGGAATTTTTTCCTTACACACAAATACACATAAATACACATATATAAAATTTAGGATAAATCATAAAATATATTTTTTTCTGAATAAATGACTTACCTATCTCCCAATTTCTTTGCAGCCCAACCCACCACCTTTTAAGATCTGTACTAATATAAAAGGTACAATACAGTAAACTTCTTTTGCTAAAAGTTATGGACTATGGACTTTTTCTGAGGGTTACACATTCAGGGTCACAAGTCAGTTGACAAGAGCTGCTGCAGATGCATAACACACATGACACAGAACAAAATGGGCTGAGTTGACGTCTTCACCGGGTAATCTGTATAACTTCAAGGTCCTCCTCTTCCACTTCTGAAGACAGAAGCAACATCAGCTGCTTCATTTGCTTTCCCCACTTTAGACAGACATCACTACCAACACTTAACATATGACCTTTATTAGTGGATTCTCATGGGCAACCCAGGCCAGGCAACCTAAGGCCTTTCCATCCTTCTTAGTCATTATGGTTCACCACCTTCTGAATGCTGTGAGAGTTATACACACCAGTACTTACTTGTAGTATGGCAATATATGTTCTTAGAGTCTGGCATGTCCAGTCCACACCTCTGTAATCCCCCAAATCAACTCAACCCTGCCTTGTGGGTAACCCACATTCACCAACACCAAATGTTTAGGCTGCTCCTGCACATGGCAGGAATGTGCCCACAACATTTTCTAAATTACATAAAACTGAAAAGTCCACTAAAGTGAAAAATCTATGATGCTGTGTCTTAATGCAGGAATGATTAAAGAAGAAATTCAGAATCCAAATTCCCTCACCAAACTTGCAATTTCAATTCATTCTCTCAAAGAAAATAAACTGACTACATATTTTATCTCACCTTTATGACCATGGAGAGGAACTTACCACTTAAATTATAAACTATACTTGGGAGTAAGATGGGGGAAACAGTGATCTAGAGGGGGTAGACACTAGTGAGGGATGGAGCGGAGGACAAGGTACGGTGGACAGAGGATGAGGCTGGGCGGGGGGAGGACAGAATTGCGGCAGGGAAGGGAGAACAGGGTCCGAGCAGAGGATGGGTTTGAAGGGAGAGGGGACCAACTGGGGTGGAGGCGAATGGAGGTACACAAAGCGGCGCGCCCTCCGAGGCCGCCCGGGGGTGGGGGTAGGGGTGAGTTGGGCGGATAAGTCCTCACCGTGGAGTCCGTAAAGGACATGCCCGGGAGAAAGGGCAGGCCGTGCACGGGGTTGGACACCATCGCAGCTGCAATCGCCGCCGCCGCCGCCACCTAGAACAGATTTTGTCCGAACCGGTTGCCCGGGCGACGAACTGCGTTCGCTGGCCTCCTGAAGCTCCATGGTAACTCCAAACATCCCGAGCATCCGCGAGTGGAGGGCGGGGTCTGAGGAGCCGGCGTGACAGGTCTGCGCGTGCGCCGCCCGCGGGACTCGGCATTCTCGCGGTAAAGTGGCCGCGACGAAAGGGGCGCATTTGGTGGGCGTGGCGTGGCTGGCCCCGCCCCTCCCCGCTCCAGCCCCCGGGATGTGAGAGCTGGTGGGCGGGGTGGGAGGAGCAGATTGAGAAGAGCTCTCTTTGAGAGAGGTTCAGGGGTTGGAGTGGCACTTAGATGAGTTAAAATAAAAACAGTTCCTTCCTTCCCTCCACACCAGTCCTCACCGCGCCCCGCCTGCGTTGTGAACTCTAGCACACTTTTCTCCCAACTCTGGGAAAAGGGCTGTCGTCCCAGTTAACACTGAAGTGTAAATGGTTGGTACTGGATGAAAGTGTTACCTACCCAGATGGTGCTTCTTGGAGGCAGGGGTTGCAGATCATTCATGGTTGAATCTCTGTTGCTTAAGGATGCTCAATGAACTCATGTAACCGTCTTGTCCCTAACCCTTGCGCTGCTGCACTGTCTTTTTTCCACCCTCACCTGCTGTCAATCCCTGCAGTTCTTCACCGTGAGTTCTTGCAGGCCAGGGCCTTGCGACAACTCAAGACTGACTGGAAGCTACGAAGTGCTCATCTCAATTCTCCTGATCTCTATAGTTTAATACCTACCTGCAGCTGCAATAAAAAGATCAGAATCACAAGGGGAAAGGCCCTCCTTCAAAAAAGAAAACTAAGTCAGAAGTGAAGTGAAATACCGTCAGGTTCATAGGTGTTCTCACCTTTGGTGCTTTTTACAAAACTTGTTTAAATTATTATTCCTTAAAAGAAAATGTGGTCCTGTTCCTGAAACATTTGCAGGAAAGAAAAAAAAATCAGCACTGAGAAACTTAAAAATAAAAAAGCAAACAAAACCCTGGTGCCTAGACATTGGTTTCATTAGGTCTGAAGTGGCGCCTAGGAATCTGATTGTTATAACAGCTGTTTCTGATAATGTAAACATTAATATACACGGAGCCACTTTAAAATGGAGCTGGAGCTGCCATGCCTGAGGAACTGCCTTGCACGTCTCGTGTCTCAAATCCTTGGAATGTTAAAACAGGGTAAAATAACCTTTGGATGAAGCCTGAGCAACCTCGTGCCTTGCAAAAGAACTGTTTGCAAAGATAACAAGAAAGTAGTTATTATGACTGCTAAGCTAATGACTACTGGACTGAAAAGTAAAAACATGGTTTAGGATTAACATCACTATGTTGTTATCTGCGCCAATAGAAACGCCTTCCTTCTATTGATGTAATTGCTCCCTTTCTCATAAATACTCATTGCCTTTGTCTCCTAGTCAGAACATTATTTGGGGTTCTGCTTGAATTAATGATTCCCGAATAGCTATTGTTATTGATCTCAGTAAATGCTTCTTGCCTGTCACTTTGAAAGGCCTTTTTATTTTTAGGTTAACAATAATGAGCCAGTTTAGGAACATGATAAGAGCAGCAAGCCTGACAGAAAGCATATCTCTGTGTCATGAGTAGTTCCCTGCCAATACAGACAGCAGCTTTGGTTTTATTGCTGCTTGTCAGAGCAAATACTCCTGTTGGGTTTCACTAATGGACTTGAAGCTCAGGGGGCCCAAGACATGAATCCACTGGTGACACATGAAACAGAGTGGTGGCTGGCTGCCACACCCTGCCCAAAGAGTTTCTTTTCTACTAATTATTCCTCTCCCCTGGCTACTTCTGTTTCCCCGTTCTTGTCCCCGCCCACACGCTTTTTTTATACTTTTTTTAATTTTAATTTTCTATTGGCATATTATTTTAATGGAGACATTTAATACAGCTTTAAAATATTAATAAATTGTTTGCATTGTTGAAGTTATTGAAAACTTTTAAGTATCTGTCCATTACATTATATCTTAGCCACTGAACTGGGATGAAAGCCAACCACTGGGAGAATACTTCAAGTTGGCAAGTTCAAACTTCAAAGAGAAGATGGTTCTCCCACTTCTCTCCACCCCATTGATGCTGAGTACCCAGAATCACTGGTAACTATAATCCTTGCTGACTCTTCATGATAACCTTAAACCCTTACCAGTCATATGATCCCTTCCTCAGCTCTCTTAATAAAAGTAAATCCATGGCATTAGAATACACTTTGAAGAGCCTTCCTGGACTAAGCGCGTGGTTGCACTGGGGTCTATATTCCCTGGATTGGGTAGGGAGGAGCCCATGGGGCTGGAAAGGTTGAGTCATGCCTAAGCCTATTATCCATTGTGTCATCTGTTTCTATTTGAGGAGTGTCCTCTGTTCAAAAACCTTTCTTTTCCAGAAGAGCGTACTAGTTAAATGGATAGCAAAGTGTGTTTAACTACTTTCGGCCCCTAGAAAAGCATGGTGAAGAAAACTTCTGTCTGTGGCATCATAAAAATGCCATCACCTCTGATGAGGGGGAAGCCAGGCGGTGTTGCAACAGTGCTAAAAAACACAGGGACAGGGCTGTGAAGAAGGGGGGTGTGGGAGGAAAGAGGCATGGCTTCAGAAAACTGCTTGGACCCTGAGAAGGTTTGGTATGATTAATCATTTCTATCCCATTTCCCCAAACATGACTAGTCAAGATGGATTGCACTTCAGTTGAAACTCACCATTTCCCTCTTTGTGGACTATACAGACGAGAACAGAAACCATCCATGGCAGCTAAAGCAGAAAGGACCATGGTTTGAAGACTGCATTAAAGCCTGGACTCAGAAGACCACAGAGACACTGCATGACCTTAGCAGGTTGTTTCAAAGCTTGGGGAATGGAAAATAATGGAAACGTTAGACTGCCGGAAGGTCAAGCTTGAAAGACAGCATCATGCTGAGTGGTCTCTCAGGGACTCCTGAGGAGTGGTAGAGGCTATAAGCACTTGACCTAAAATAAACATCTCTTTTTTCAGCATTTTGCCTAGAGCTGGCTTTACCCAGGTTTTATTTTCAACCCTGTGACATTATTCTTCAGTACCTAAAATCACAGGACAATTGCCAAGTAGGATAGTGTGTGCATGTGTGCGAGCACGTGTGTGTCCTGGATATTTCTGTAGTGAGTTTGGTGCTCTATGTCCCTCTGCTGTATAAAAGTGGTACAGCATGGTTTGTGGAAAACAAACCCAATTGCACACCAATAGGTTTGAAAGGGTTGGGGGTGTGGCTAGTGTTTCAATATGGAGATAAGACCTTGCAGGGGAGTGTCTTTCAGAGTGCTCTCTGCCATTCATTTCCATCACGCCTTAGTCTCTAGAATCTCTTATCTAAAGAGTGCCCAGTCAACCACTTTAATATTTGCAAAGTATCGAAAAAGGAGAAAGAAGCATCCATAGTGATTTCCAAGCAGATTCTGAAAATTTAGGACCCACAGGAAATCATTTGACACAAAATCACATAATTTGGGTTTAGACTATTTTAGTTTTACAGAGGGCTCCTGCCAAGGGTTTGAAAAAACTTGTGTTTCTGTGGCTTCCCCCCCCCCCCCCAAGTCAAACCCATTCTATGACTTTAGCTGATTCATTTGGAATTCTCTTCCCTCTGGAAAAGCCTATCCAACATTACCTGAGTCCGTTGTGAAAGCTGAGGAGTAGAGGCGAGGACCCCACGTGGGCAGTTGCCAAAATGGGGCCCAGGAGCACTTGCTTCAGCAAGGGAGAGCCAAATGGGAAACACATTTCACCACACTGAAACTGACTGCTCTTGAATTTTTTCTCTGCATTTAACATCCTACCACAGAGGTTCTACTGCATTCACATGTGTGATAAGCTACTCATCACTATTTCCTCTTGAGTTTATGCTTGAGGCAAGCAATTACCATTTCTCTCTTTAATGGAGTATAGGTGGTGATAGGGTGGGGTGTTCTTGTTCCAATCTCAACCTGTACTTGCTGAGCTGGGAGACCAAGAGCCACTGGTTAGGGCAAATTGTGTCACTTGCATAGAGATGTAAAAAACTGCCATAACAAAGGGCTGCCATAACAAAGCGGCACAACTGGGTGGCTTAAAAAAAGAGAAATTTATGCTCCACAGTTCTGGAAGCTAGAAGTAAAAAAATCCAGGTATTGCTAGGACCACGCTCTCTCCCCTAGCTTCAGTCTATGGCATTCGTAGGCTTGCAGCTGCATAATGCCAATCTCTACCTCCATCATCATACGGTGCTCCCCCAGGTGTGTTTCTTTGCCTTCACGTGGTCATATGTCTTCCATTCCCTGTGTCTCTCTCCTCTTCTTATAAGGACACCAGTCACATTGGATTAAGGGTCCACCCAACTCCAGTATGACCTCCTAACTACTTACATCTGCAACTACCATTTCCAAACAAGGTCACTAACTGAGGTACTGGGGATTAAGACATCAACATATCTTCTGGGGGGACGTGATTCAAGCTACGACAGATGGGAATTAAGAAGTAAAAAATGAATGAGTGGTGAGTGGGATTTCTTCTATCAGCTGAGAACACCTGGGAACCATAGTGGAGAAGGAAGGCGCTGCCAGCCTGTCTGGGTGGGGTGGGATACCACGGGAAGTTCTCGCTGATGCCAATGATAGTCTGTGACATGCAGACAGGGAGTCAAAGAAGCAATGTGGAGGAAAGTAATAAATTCCCCCACCAAAACTCATGCAGAACCCTAGGAAAATAAAATCCTTCTTAACCTGTCAAGAGTGGGGAGAAATCCCTCCCAAGGGCAGAGAGCCCTCATTCTGGTGAGAGACTTCTGGGAGTCCACAGAGACAGTGCGTGCCTTTAGACAGAGCCCATAGCATCCTGCTCCACGTGAAGTGATAGAAATAAGAATGACAATGGTTGTCACTAGCACTTACTAGACACAGTAAAATTAGTCAGATTCTGAGATAATTTGTTCTTGTTTGAAAACAAAACACTGAGTTGAGATGTTTTGCACGTTGCCATAGCTGTCATTAAGAAAAGGAAATTGTTATAGCCCAGAACAGTGCTCAAAAACACTTTTAGGAGGAATAGGCTATATTTAATAAGTCCTGAAGAGGAGGAAGGATTCACTAGAGAAGTGTAGAGAAATAATTTGAGGATAATCAGTGGTTTTTAAAACTGGTTTGAGTCCTTGAGGTTCTTTCAGGTGGTTACAGATGGCCTCTGAGAGTAACATTTGTAACTTGACGAGGTCCGCGTTGGATTCTAGAACAAAATATATTTAAGAATCTCACGTTTGGTCCTTTTTCAATGATAACAGTCTAAGGAGTTTTGCTTGGCCAACATATCTAGAAATAAAACGAGAACTGCATCTTTAGGTTTATTTCATTTATCAGGGAAAAATAAAAATTCACATTCCATGTCCCTCTGGATTCTACACTTACAGTTCACACAATTAGCAATGGGGAAGGTAGACCGAAAGACCTTCTATTCATTTAATTTTGGTGCTTTAGAATACGAACTCTGGATTCAAAGGCCTGAGTTTTTGTGATAGTCCATGACTTACCAACCAGGTAGTCTTGGGCAAATTTACAGTTTCCTCCTTGGTAAAATTGGGGCAATAACAGTACCTGCCTCATAGAGTTGTATGAGGGTTAACCAGAAAGAATCTGAGAAAACAGCTCTGCAAAGGACTTGGCAAGGAGTGAGAACTACATAATATAAACTGTTAATATTATTTTTATTCCCATTTCCAGGCTCTGCCCTGGATGTTTCATTGCATTTCTGCCCAGAGGATTACCCAGAGTACAAACCAGTGTCAAGGAAACATTCCCGCCTATCTAGGAGGAAGTGGAGGTCAGCATTCCAGGCATTTAGGAAATGCTCTCTGAGAAGAATCTGGAAAAAACCTGGAGAGCATGAGTGTGTGTCCATAGGAACACAGAGCCCAAGGCCAGGCCCACAGAGAGAATAACTTGGTTTTATATAGACGGCAGGGAGCAGCATTTGCTCTGTTCTCTAAAGGAAAGGTAATAAATATGCAGTGAATAATTAGTCCATATTGATAAACAGCTATCCTGAATTTTCTTGGGCCAAATTATTCTCCAGCATACCTCCTCCTAAGGTCACAGTAAATGCCAAAGTGCTCACAATCTGAGGCTCTCACAATCTGTCCTCATCTCTTCTGTCCTCCCTTTGTTCTTGCTGGCCCCAAGCCCTTTGCACTTCTTCCCTCTGCCTGGGGGAGAAACAGAGCTAGCTCTGTCACTTTTCCCTGTAGTCTTCTTCCCTGATTCTGTTTAAAAGTGCAAACTCACTCCACCCCTTTGGCCTGTCCTTCTTCCTTGCTCTGTATTTCTCCTTGGCACCATCACCTTCTATAATAATATCCGAATGCTGTACCATTTATTTGGTTCATTGTCTGTCTTGCCACCCCCTCTACCAGCCCCCCAATGTAAATGCCTAAGGGCAGGGATTTGTGTGTGTTTTGTCTGTTTTGTCCATTGTTGTATCCCTGGTACTTAGAACAGGAACTGGCTCCTAGTTGTGTTCAGGGCTTCTGGAGTGACTTTCAGTGAATCCACATACCCGTCCAACAGGCTGGGCCTTGCCTCCACTGAAGGTCTTTCTAGGAGAGTACTCAGAAAGCTGAGATGCATTTCAAAGAATTCCTTTAACACGAGATAATGTATCATTGGCTCTGTTTTGTGAGCCGCTATCTCAGCCACTGCATCATCAAATTGCCTACATAATGTAATTTCAGAAGGGAGTGTAATGTAACCATCTTGGTATTTCTATAAACAGCCAAAGACGGATGCTTTTGTATTTTATAGAATGAAAGTATTAGGTTACTTAAAATTTCTAGTTCCCAGTATCTGGTTTTTCAGGAAGTTTTATACGACACTGCTAATTTGCCTATCATTGACAATATTTTGACATAGCCTTATTTTTCCCCTGAAGATATTTAGTGATGGGTCTGTGGATTACCTGTTTTCTCTATTTTCCTGCATTGACTTTAATAGCATATATTACTTGAATATGAGAAATAACCAATGACTTTTGGGGGACTTTCTACTTAGTCTGCATAACCCCCTTATAAGGCAGAGAAACTTGTTTTAATCCCATGTTCAAAGCCATATTAGCTGCTAAAGTCCCTGGGAAAGCCAATTGTTTGAAGAACAGACAATCCCAGTAAAAGATGAGAGGTGGGACTTGCATAATCTTGCAAGGTTGCTAATACTAGATGAGTTTCTCATCCAAGCATCCAGAGGTATTTTCAAGAAGCCATGACTTGGAGAGTGAGATTTGACTCTCTAATCTAGGCCACCAAGGGCCTGTGGCCAAATGAAACTTTTGGGCTTCTGAGAAGATTGTGAGGTGCAAAGAATGCTTTATTTGGCATCCAAGGAGGTGGTGTGAAGTCACTGTCACCTGAAAAGAAATGATACAACCCTGGCTGTCAGGAGGTATTTAGGGTCAAAAGTTAAAATAAGATTAGGTTAAAGCACACACAATATGTGTAAGGGCTTTACATACTGTAAAGGACTCTGCAAATATTTGGTGTTGATGTTTCTGATTAGCTGAGCCCTGAATTTATCTGGAAGAAAAATAAGTTTGAGCTTAAACATTACAACTAATCGTGTGCCTTTGAACCAGCCATTCTATACTCTTTTAGTGTTTCCTAGTTTAATCAAGATCTTTTTGGCCTTACCTCACGATTATTTAGAAACTCACATGGATGTGAAAATGTTTTGGAAAGCATACAATCTGGGGTGATATTCTGTAGCCTTTGAGTTGGTCAAGGCCTCCTGGAGCCTACAAAATAGTGCATATCTCTTCTATGAGGGTCACCTTAGGCAAAAAAAAGCCCTTAACTTAGTTAAATATGCTCCCAAAGTTAATATTTCAATGAAATCTCTTTTTAATGATTTTCCTTCCATATTATTTCCAAAACAAATTTAAGGGATAAGGTGTTTTTTGTTTGTTTGTTTTTAAGGAGGCAGCCAGGGTTCAGCATGCTGTTTCCAGTTTACCAAATTAAGTACATCTCCTTACCTGTAGATGGGGCTTTATATACCTGGGGAGTCTATACTGCCTGTGGAAGTATAGGACTTTTCTGTGTCTGGATGTAGAGGACAGTGAGAAGGGCTGGAGAAGCAGCAGGAGGAACAAGGGTTGAGGTGGCTATAAGGTGACAGCATTGCTGTTGACAGAGATGCTTTCAGCCTCTGCAGGGAAGGAGGATAAAGGTCAAGCCTTTTGAAAAGGGTCTGCCCCAAAGCAGACCCCAGCCTCCAATGGATTTGGCAGGCCATGTGGCCCTCAGGCTGTGATTGGGACCAAGACCTGGAGAGGGGGACCCTGTGGTGGCCCCAAGTGGGAAGATGCTTGTTCTCATTCAACAGACTGCAAACTCTCCCTATGCCTGTTTTCTTCTATTATTTTTATTTTTTTTCTCACTATGGTATCTCCAGAGCTAACATGGTGCCTACCACCAGTAGGTACCCATAAACACTTGATGAATCAATAACTGAAGAGTGATCAAACTATTAACAGCAACGACAGAAGCATTTGCAAACTGTGGAGTGCCCCTGCTGGTAATAAAAAGGGTTTGGCAAGAGGAACATCAGAATTCTACCAGTGGACCCTCAAGCCAGAGAAATGCTGTTTTCCTATTGTTATTGTGATAGTCATGTAGCTGAAGCTAGAGTAGCCTGGAGAATCACCTTTTCCACAGCTATTTAAATCTAATAGTTAGGCTACAAAATCCTTTGGTTGACAGGTGCCACATTTCACAACACATACATTATAGTATCTTTGATGGTATAATTATAATTCATAATTTTTAGATTTCAAAAAATGTAGTCCATCAATTCAAAATTTTGAAATCTTCAACACTATTTTCTACAAAACTAGGAGTGTGTATTCAATTAGATTGAAATCTTCAGAGAAATCAACTCCATAGCATTTGGGGGGGAGGGGACAATTTCATCTACTCATAGGTGAGGATCTGGGGTACGTGTATGTGGATTTGGGGAGTTTGGGTATGACTTTTTTTATGCCTTTATACTTTCCTACTTCTATGTGGATATAAAGTGTCCTGACCTCATCCTCCTGGCAATGATTGCCTAGATAAAACCTATCTTTAAGATGGGTCTTGTCAAAATAGCCCTTGTCAAGGGCTGGGTCAAAGAAACAAGGTAGCTGTTGACAGTACAACAATCCATATACAAAACCAGTTTAATGGTAATTCGTGTAAGTAGATTTATATAAACAGAAAATAGTTCATTTTTTTCCTCGCCAAGCAATCAAGCAACACACTAGGACCAACAAAATTAGTAGACTGAGGCTTGGGGACAATGGCTGGGCCTTTCTGAATAAGACATGAGCGCCATCTGGAGGGCTCACTTGAAACTACCATGCAGCAACTGAAGAACCTAATGGTTTTAAGCATTAAATGTACAATTTGCCAACAGGTGACCAACGGAGGCAGGAATGAATCACCTTCATCTCGTAGCCTGAGCCCCTACTATTTCAAGCTTCCAATAGAGGGTTGAGAATATTGTTGTTGAATGAGGTACTTTCAGCCAAGGTGGGAAATGAAACCCTAACGTCTGAAGAGTATTAACATTAGTTTGTTAGTAAATATAGGTGAAGTGCTAGGCAAGAAGGAAACAGGCAAATGTGTCCCCCACTCTGCTGTGTTTTGCGGTACCCTCTCCCTACCCTGAGTAGGGTCTCATACAGATCCACCAGAATTTTTATTAACAAGATGTAAATGACTGCTAGTTTATTTTTTTGGAGGTATTTACATTTTAATAGGTTGAAAGTATTGAGAGAGAGAGAGAGAGAGAGAGAGAGAGAGAGAGAGAAAGAACCAGCAGAATTTCCAGGAGGTGTCAACTGTTAGAGGGGGTATGATGGAGAAACAGAATCATCTTCTTTATCAAATACTTTATTCCTTTTAAACAAACTAGGTATGTTTCTTACTGATATACTCACTCATTTTAGTGAAAATGTTCAAAACTCTGAGCGGTTAAAAACATCTGCATTTCCTGTGTTTATATATTGCTAATGAGATACTGGTAATTTTAATGAGATACTAGTCCCTTATCTCAGTGCTTCTCAAATATCTCTGGTGAAACATTAAAAAAAAAAAAAAGATTTCCAATAACTTGAGGGACCAATACTTGTGTAAATTAAAATAAAAATGTGATGGCAATACCTAAATGTTTAGTCTATCTTGTAATTATATTGTTCAAGACCTTTTACAGTGTGCAGGCTGGCATTGGTCTGTGGCCCACATTTGAAGACCACTGCTGTACTTCCTATTTTCTCTTTTAAAAAAATGCCTGCATTTGGCCTAAAGATCTCTGCCCACCATGACCACCACAGTTACATTCAAGGGCTTGACTTACGTCTTTCTTTCAACTTGAATCCACACTAACAAATATTTAAACACTTTCTATTCCCTCTTTTAAACTGACCCTCTATTTAGAATTTTGCACAACTTCCCCATTGCCTTGTTTAGTTCAACCCGATTCAGTTTTGCTAACTTTATTTGTGATGAATTTGTCCTAGACACCAGAAGCTTGTGTAAGACACTTGGGTAGCACAGAAGTTCAGGTATTTGAGGACTAAGAGAAATCCATCAAGGAAAACTATGTAGCTGGTAAGACACACTTTCTTGATATAAAAATTATAGGAAAGCTTCAGTTCAATCTCTTTCTTTTCTTTTCTTTCTTTCTTTCTTTTTTTGCCAAAATAGATTCAAAGGTACTTTTGATTGATAAGCAATTCAATCCACTGGTTGAAAAGCAACAAATTATTTTCTTTCTTATCCCTATAACTCCAAAATAAAAATTCCAAGTGGCCATATATTAAGTAGTGTTCATACATTTCCATTTATAAGGCACAAACTCCACAAAACTCTCAAAGAAAGAAAGAAAACACAGATTTGAAGGCAACAAAATAACCTAGTAATAGAAGACATTCATCAAACTGAAGTGAAAACAAACCACTTTCCTTTTTAGTAAACAGGGACCTTATAGTGATAGGAAATGTGGCCTCGAGAAGGCTTCCATGGCTCTATTACCACTGCAGCCCCTTTCACGGGATGAGTGTGGAAGTCAGTCCTCAGGGAGACTGCATGGTTAGAATACATCAACGGCAAGTGCCACCTATCCCATAGAAGCTGTTGCGCAGCAATATCCCAAACAGTACATTCTAGCTACAGGGCACCCAGTTTACCATTCTTCCTCAAAGGAGCCTTCAGACACCAACCTGCAGTGAAGCACATATGCTCACCTGTCCTGGGGTTTGATTATTTTAAAGGTTCAGCTGTCAGTTGAGGCATAACTGCCTGCCTAAGGACCCTGAACTAGGGTCATGATGTGGGTTCTTCTTGTGGCAGTATCTATTTAAAAGGCTGGACCTTGGGTTCCTCTTGAAATAATCGGATCCCTAGAGGGACCTTTAGAATTAATTCACTCTACTAGGGGTCAAAATCTGAAGATCCCCTGGAGCGAGCCCCAAATCTTCTGACCTGTAAGGCAGCCCTAACAGATCTCAAGTAATCCCACAGTTCACAGGTATAAAACAAAAGGGTCCCATGACACCAAACAGTATCCATGCTTGCTGGCTGGGCCTCCTCGTGGCTCTTGGCACTGTACTTTCCAGTACCGTTTCCATTAGTGTTATGTGAGAATAAGCTTCCCGAATGTCCACATGGATCCAAACATTTACTGCAAGTGTGACTATTTCAGAGTCCTGTATATTACCAAGGTATGGATGGGACTGAACAGCACTTCCGAGAAAACAGCCAGGGAGATGTCATCCTGAGAAAAAGGGTCAGGGTTAGAGTGGGTGAGAGTGGAGGGGCCACAAATCAGATGAATTGAATAGCTCATTATGTCTTAGGGTTTCACTGAATCTTAAAAATTACTAATTCTCCACCCTGGACAATCTGAAATCCAAATGAAATCGGGCCCTTGGGTTGATTTATTCGATTACCAAAGACCAGTATAATAGGAATGGCCATTCCAATACGATGTGGACCAGCCCACTCCTTGTTTTCCAGTCCAGTTTTATTATCCCTTCAGCTCCAGGACTTGCCCCTGGAGGCCACAGTCAGGATTCGACTAAATTTTCAGGCATGAAGATGGTCCTTAATTCAGTGTCCCATGAATCTTAGCCAAGGTCCCTTTCTTTCCTGTGTCTTGACAGACTATGACCCAGAGGGAAAAGGAATACTCCTTTTACTAACAACTGTAACAACGTAACTCTTGAATCCTTTGGTTCCCAATGCCATAGCCATAGCACATCCTTGGAAATGCATTTTAATTGAGAAGTCAACTCTTAAAAACAATAAGGCGACTCTGAATTTTTTTTTTTTTCATCGCATTTCCCTCCAGTCACAATGGGGTGCCTCCACACCTCGCCCCCGCCTTGCCAGCCTCAGGAATCTTTCTTCATCAGTCTGGCCTTGACTTTGTGCCGCAAGAGGGCTGCCGTGGCAGTGCTGCAGGCGGTCAACAAGAAGAAAGACAGACAGGCCATGTAGACAGAGAGGGCGCTGTGGCGCTCGCGGAAGATTTCCTGCCGCCCCTGGTAGTCCAGGAGGATGGCCTCCAGCTGGGAGAGCGTGCAGATGGACAGGAACACGTGGAAGAGCTGATGCCCGTGGCCCACAATGTCACAGGAACCCGGGAAGTACTTCTCAGGAACCGGGCAAGAGAAGAAGTAGGCGCTGACCAGGAAGAAGAGGATCTGGAGGGTGTGGTACCAGGCCGCCTGCTCCTGGCAGCCAGCCAGGTGGCACAGGGCCACTCGGTGCGCCACCGGGCTGATGTCTAGAATGAAGGCCAGCCCCGAGGGCACCACTTGACAGATCTTCTTCATGACTGGGTAAGGCCTCTGGTAGCGATACTTGGCGTAGCAACAGCCGGCGCAAGATAACCAGCCACAGAAGGCAGCTGCTGGCAAGAAGAAAAGCCAGAAACGCTCGTACCAGGCCTGGTCAGAGGTGTAGAAGAAGTGAACCAAGGCACTGCCGTACTGGTAAACACTCACGCCAATGTAGTCCACGAAGTAGAAAGTGTAATGGGAGAGCTCTGACTTGGACTGCAGCAGGTGGGCCAGAACGCTGAACGTGAGGTAAGTGATGGAGGACAGGACATAGAGGAGCAGGGGCAGGGTGTTGGTGGAGGCCCACGGCAAGGCCTCGGCCTCGGCAAAGGCCCAGAATCGCAAGAGGACGGCCAGAGCCGCCAACAAGTGGGTCCAGACGTTGACCACCTCGTTGTGTTTCTGAAAGAGGCTGAAGAAGTAGTAGCGCCACCGGTGCCCTGTGGGGCGGTAGCCGGTGTGGATATAAGGCTCCCGGAACAGCTGGGGCACATCTGTCTCGGGGACGGTGCACGGCATCTTGGGCAGCCCATTCTCCAGGATCTTGGGCAGGCGGCGCAGCTGCTGCCCACTAACAGACAGGGTGCTCAGGTGCTCCAAGATGGCAGTCGTCATGGTTTCCAAGCACGGCACGATGCGGGGATGCAACCTAAAGGAAATGAAGTGAAATCAGCAAAGACTGCAGTGGGAGAGGGACTGAGCTAGGAGACTGAAGGAACCCTGGGTTTTCTTAATGAAAGGCAGCTTTCCAGTGCACTAGGAGAGGCGGGGAGCTGCAGACAGCTTTTTAGATCTTCATTTTTTTTTTTTCATCTGTAGAATGATACAGTTGGACCAAGATCCCTTACCACCCTGACATTGATTTTATCTCTACCCACCACAGTGTGAGGCAAAGCCACAGCATATAAAATGGGAATGGTAGTAGTTACCCTGTTTTAATATCTAGAAGGTAAGGAAGGGTACCTTTAAAGGCTTTGGAGTTTTCTAGATGTTATTAAAATGTAATCATCAGGCAGACTCTAATAGTATGAAATATTATTATTGAAATATAAAAAGTATAAATATTGATATTACTAATGATAGCCTACCTTTCTTGAGTACCTAATCCTAAATTATTCACTGATTTCCCTGATAACTTGAAAATCTTAGATAAGTAATTGTAACTTCAGCCTCAAAGTAAAGACAGGCAAATGAGTCATCAATTAAGTTGGTAAAGACAAATGCATATTCAGGGAAATATTTTAACAGTTAAACAAAATTAACACGTCGCCTAAATTTAACATAAAATCTAATTGCATATAGATTATGTCTTTTTGTTTGTCTTTAAGTTACACTCTGGAAAGTAAGTAGTTTTGGATTTGTCTCTCCTGGGTAATTAAATCTGTGCTCAATGAATTTCAGGCCTCAAAAATGCATAACTTACACTTGGAATTTGTAGATGACAGGTGAGCCAGATAAGCACAGGGAGTATTTCATAAAACAGCTGCAAAGTTTCATCTGAAGTTACTGAGTCAAAAAATGGACTTTCAGCATATCTACAGTTACTTTCTGTACTTCACATTTCCCATATTCTTTTCCTCAGAAAAGTTCAAAACCTGATTTATTTAAATGGCCCCCTTCCTCAGAGCTCTTCTGCTGGGAGAGAGATAGCAAGCGCTTTTCAGGATACCATTCATTTTACAAAAAAAAAAAAAAATCTTCCTACTTATACTTCTTAATCAACACTGAAAGAGAAAAAAAACATCTAATCAAGTCTAAAATGTAGGTCATGAAAATGAATAAAATGTGAAAACAGTCAGGGAGACCCGGAGTCAAGCCCTGGTTTTGAGCTACTTACTAGATAACATTGGGCAAGTTATAGAACACACTAAGTTTCAGTTTCTTCATCTGTAAAATTGGAGCAATAATTTTTTGTATCGTCTGGGTGGTTGTGATGACTCGATGAGAGAATCTAAAGTATAAAGTACTTAGCACCCTGCCTGGCCTAAGATGGGTGTCTCAGTAAATGTTAAGTATTGCTATTACTTTATTGCTATAAGCTGGGTTCTGGGCTCAGGAATACGAAGACCAAAAAGATATGCCGCCTGCTCTCAAGGTCAGAGTCTACTGAGGGGACGACAAGTAGGGGAGTCATGACCAAAACGTGGGATGAGTTACTCCACTGGAGGTGAACACTGGTTCACAGGGTCTCTGCAAACATAACCAAAATAGAAGGTAGGGGAGGGCGGGGTGTGCACGCTTCTCCAAGTGACCCTTGAACTGAGTCTTGAAGGAATTGTCAGAATTCCCAAAAGAAGATGCGTGGGGAAGACATCTCTTGGAACCGAGCAAGGTCAAAGCACTCATAAGGCTCTGTAAAGCATCTGAAGAGGTCGCATTCGTGTGGTTTGAGGTAGGACATTGGCACCAGAGACCTGAGCTCCAGCCCTGAGCCCCGCCACCATCGATAAGCCATGAATTCCAGAGAAGTAGAGTTAATAACAAAGAGAAGCTGCTTTGAAAGGTTGATGTAAAGGCTATTATGACGTAATGCCTGTCAAGGGTTTAACAAAGTGCTTGGTTCCAAGTCCACAAAAAAAACCTTTGCCATTATTATGACCATCACTGATGGGAGAGGTGGGGGTTGTGCATGAAGATCTAATGCCCCCTTCATACCTTGTACCTTCTTTCACGGCAGCCACTGTTAACTCTGCATTGAGTCAATTGTTTCACCGGGACTGACCAGTGGCTCCCTACCAGGAACGGGCCATGAACTAGTGTTCAATATAAAAACTAAAGGCACCAACAGACATGTAGTAAGAATTACGGTTGCAGTCAGAAAGACAGAAAGCGTGGGAGAAGAGAAAGAAAATGGTCATCAGAATATCTCAATTCATTTAAAAACAAAACAAGGAAAAGCTAAGCAGTGCTTCTGCTGTCAGCCAGCAGAGGGATCCAAGAGCCGGAGTTAAGTTCTAGGTGGAGGCTCCAACTGACCTCAGGGACAGTTGATGACAGAGCACAGAGGGGTAAGGGAGGGGGACATGGGAAGGTGAGAACAAGTGGGCCCACTATAGGGCTGGGCCTGGGACATGGGACGACATTTTAAGTTGTCCTGTTGCTGTTGGCTGAGAAGCATATAATCTGGGGGAGCTGGGCTTGTTGGAGCTCTGGGGAATTAAAGGTTTCTACCATCTAGGTACAGGTGTCTACCACCATCTTTTGTGAAACAGAGAGGGAAATCAGATGAAAATATCAGTCTGATTTTGTGGTTGGGAGAAACAGAGGTGAGTCACTGGGGATATGAGCCGAAGAAGAAAGAATTTCTGAAGATGCTCCCTGGCAAGCTTTGCCATTTAAGATCAAGGGTGTTTGTATCATCTCTGGGTACCCAAAGCAATTGGAGACAATTCTGCAGGCAGAGTTAAATAACACATGACTGCACAATTTCTGTTTATCTTTGCATCCTCAAAAATAGGGGGCCTAGCACAATGGCAGGTTCTTATAACTGATGACATGACTGAATTTCTAAAGACTAAAACCTTGGGTTTTGGTCGTCTAATAGTTGGAACCAAGTCCAGTTCAGATCTGGGAGACAGCTGGCATCTGTTTGTTCTGAGGGAGAGAGGACAGAGCACAATGCTGCTTTATTGTTAGTTTCCAGAAAACTCCGTCTGCAGAGCTCTGACCCTGTAAGTTCCTCCAGTCCTTTTACCACCAACCTAACCTCATGGCTTTATGTTGTCAAGTCCTTTTCAGAAAATTATTTTTACTTCACTCTTACTTATGGAAACTAAACTAGGAAGAGGTTTATAGAACTAAGAACCTGAGAGATATAAGTCCAAAAGTTTATTACATTTAATTTCAAAGGAAAGGTGTACAGGAAAAAAAAATTGGTAGAATCCTCTTTTTCCTCGCATATGAGGCCTCCTTTTTCCTTAAAGTGCAGCCACACCAGTCTCAGGGTCTCCTTAATAACTCCATCCTTCAAGTGTGTAACCCAACACCGACAAAGCGATCTGGCAGTTCCAGGGATGTGATCACCATGACCTCCAACTCAGGATATGATATCTTATCTCCCTCAGCACTGAGGGTGCTACAAAGATCTAGGTCTTCTACCTGTGTGTGAAAAGGACCTCCATTTCCCTTTGGAAGCTCAGGATCATGAACAATTTTAAACTAATGGTCAGAAAGAGAAGGAATTATTTCCCTGTCCTTTACTTAGCAACTACCTCTCTTCCACTGCCATAAAATTCTCCCTTCATCTGATAGCAGCCACCACAGCCACAATGATGGTAATATTATAATCCTTTTATCATCATTAACTTCAGAAGCTGCTGTCCAGTGGGGTCCAACTAACCCCCTAGACTTCCACCAAACCACAGTGAGTCGTGCTTCCAGAGAGGCCTCAAAGGGCCAGCTGTCAAGTTTGAGAGCCTGTTTCGGAGGAAAACACATATTGACATCATGATGTTGGTGCAGAAACACACCTCTCAGCCTTGGCAGTGCTGGCTCTGAGTAAGGGTCCCACCCTCATTCCTGGCCTCTGTCCCCATGCACCACTCCTCCCCAAGCTGACGTGGCCATCGGGCAACAAAGTTGCTACCTTTGAGTAATCTCCCTTGCATAGGGAATGCACCACCTCCTCTGCTGAGACAGCTGAAATGTACATGTTCCTGAAGAATCCTCATGAACTGGGTAAGCTCCAGCCTTAGTAATGTTGATCAACCAGAGAACTTTTTCAGAGCAAGGATTACCTGTTAACAATTTTCCAGGATGCAAAGGCCACAGAGGAAGAATAATAAAGTAAGCACCTCACCTCAAACAGCTTACAAGAAAAGTCAGACTTCATGAGTCAACAGCCCATCCCACCAGACTGCACATAATCAAGGGCTAAGTAGGGTGAAAGAAATGCAGCTCTCTACAGAGCAGAGCATGCACAGAGCACACTGGGGAAAACGGGACTTGTACTAGGCCTTGAAGCTGGACAGGACTTAGACAAGTGAAGGGGTGAGTTGTAGGTTTCCTCGAGGGTCCATGAGCAGAGGGAGTAACGGGGAAGTGAGTAGGGTAGCTGCCATGGCAATTAGTGAAAGGAGGTTAGATTTGATGTTGCAGAAGGAAGACGGGAGTTCATTTTTCATCCCTGAAGCCTTTTTTTGGCTTGTTCATTTTAGCTTGTCACCTGAGCTCTGGAAGACTCATACTGCTGACTGACCAAGGCCTCCTGTCTTGGTTTAAGTGACACTACCTTCTTGGGTCTTACCTGTTTTCCTCTCCCTCCACCCCTGTCACGGTGGTGTCCCCAAGGTTCCAGCATCTGCATCCTTTTCCATATCCATGGTACCCTTCACACAGGTACTTCTCCCACACCTTTGGCTGCTAGCACCTGTATCAGATGATATGTCTGATGCATATGTCTCCGGATAGATCTTTCCTGAGGTTTGGAGTCAAACCAACAGCTCTAGATTGTCCAACTGAATATCCCATGGCCACTTCAAACTCAGCACCTTCACACTCCTCCCTCATCCCAGACTTGACGTTTCCCCTCTGTCTAATCAGTCATCTAGGCCTGTTGACTTGAATCTCAAAGTTTCTAGAATCCATTGGTCCTTTCCATTACGGCTGCTGTCCCTTAATTCAGGCCTTCAAAATGAACTTCTGTATTTG